GTAGAGAGAAATAGAAACATCAGTGATGAGAGAGAATCACTGATTGGCTGCCTCCTGCACACCCCCACCCCTGGAGATCGAGCCCACAACCTAGGCATGTGCCCCTGACCAGAATCGAACCTGGGACCCTTCAGTTGCAGACCAACACTCTACCCACTAAGCCAAACCAGCTAGGGCTTTATGCTTTTATTAGAGGCCCAGTGCACGAACTCATGCACCGGTGGGGTCCCTCGACCTAGCCTGCGGGGATTAGTAGACCTCCACGCTCCCACAGCCCGGCCTTACCTGCCAGCTCATTGGGCTCCAGCCCACTATCTACATTGATCCCGCACAGCGTGAAGAAGTGCACGAAGCAGCAGGCGGTCAGAGAGGAGCCCGAGCCCAGGCTGGGCGCTGCACCGCTCCCGCTCATCCCGGCCTGCTGCACCTGCCACCACTGCAGCTGGGACGCACAGGGGGAGTGTCCATGAGAGAAACTCACACAGCAGCAGCTGTGCTCGCCGGCCCTGAGACCCGCGTCTGGCACCCGTCTGTCAGCTGAGCGGCGCTCCGGCTGTGGGAGTGTACTGACCATCAGGGGGCAGCTCCTACATTGAGTGCCTGCCCCCTGGTGGTCAGTGCGCATCATAGCTACTGGCCGGTCATCTGGTCGTCAGGTCACCCGGTCACTTAGGCTTTTATATAGATAGATTACTCTTCTCTCAGGAGCTCTACTTTGAATGAGTTTTACAAAATATTATTTCCTAACAAACATTTCCCATATGATTAAAGACCTATAAGTAGCTGGTAACTAGCATGGAACAATTCGTGTGACCGTTCTGAGCCTAAATTGCTCCAGCCCAGAGTGCAGAAAGTGGGCCTCCATCAGCCTACGCTGCCAGGCTCTCAGGCACAGGGTTTCTGTAGAGCAGGGTTTCTGCTCGTCATTTTGAAAACTGAGACTCGCCCCCTGGATCTCCCTAGCCCCCTGGGGATTGGAAAACACAGACTCAACACCACCCACTTTTATTGATAGGTAAGAAGTCAAGCTTAAGGAAATGGCCCAGGTCCTCATTACCACAAAATGGTACCCGAAATCCAGAACCCAGCCACGTGCCTGCTGGGGTTGCAGCACCCCTCCCCTCTCCCCCTCAGTGGGGCCCCAGACCCTGCCCCAGGCCCTGCTCCAGGCCGCTGGTCTGAGGGCTCCTTGGAAAGCAGTGATGCTCCCTCGCATGTGGCCTGTGTCTGGTTCGTTTCTGAGCTCAGCATCCGCTGTTCACCAGAGTGGAATTCTCGGAGCAGAGTTTCTGCTCATGGCTGGCAGATTCCAGGTTGGCTGGAACCTTGACACGGGTGCCTCCCGTAGGGCACTCCCTGGTCGCCAGTCTGCCAAAGACTCTGCGAAGAATTCACATTCCGATTGCATGAATTTCCTCTCCAGCTCTTGATTCACACACTCCAGTTTGGCCTTTATGTGGACTATGCGGTTGGGCAGAGCAGGTAATTTTATATATTAGTTAATAAGAAATCCTTTTCTTCACTCCAGGTATGTGTTACTGCAAGCAGTGGTACTGGGATAAAAGGAAGCCTGCCTCTCTGTAATAGCACCTTTTCTTTAAAAAAATATATTTTTTATTGATTTCAGAGAGGAAGGAAGAGGGAGGGAGAGATAGAAATACCAATGGTGAGAGAGAATCATTGATCAGCTGCCTCCTGCACGCCCCACACTGGGGATCGAGCCCATAACCCTGGTGTGTGCCCTGCCCGGAAATTGAACTGTGACCTCCTGGTTCATAGGTCGACGCTCAACCACTGAGCCATGCTGGCCGGGCAGTACCTTTTCTTTACAGTGAAATTTCCCCCATTAGCCCAGAGCTAATCTTGAAAGGAAAGTGGGTGAAAGCCATTATTTTCATTTTGTGGAATTGAGTAAAAATAAGCTAGAGAGAAATTATATCTTCTTGCTCGGGCTTAGTGGAAATTTAAGAAATGGATCTTTCATGCTCTTGACATGAAGGTTAGTAATTTATCTGGCAGAGATTTTGAGTGAAGATTAGAAAGCAGCCTCTAAGATATCCTCTTGTATCATTTTCAAATTTTCTCCTCTCAGATCACCATAAGTTTAAGGATTTGAATCCTGTTTCACAGTCTCTGTGACCATAAGAGTTATCACCACAGGCAGCATTAAAATATATCACTTGCTGGGGCCCAGCCACACTACACTTTGTTCCTATGTCCAAAATATATCACTTCAGAGACATACATTTTGGTAAGAATTTGCGCAACAAAAGGCTATCCTATATAATAAAAGGCTAACATGCAAATAGACCAAATGGTGGAACAACCAGAACAACTGGTTGCTATGAGGTGCGCTGACCACCAGGGGGCGTGTGAGGAACATGGCGGGCGTTGGCCGGCGGGATGGTGGAGCAGGTGAGCAGGTGCACCAGACTAAGATGGGGTACTGGTTGCTGTCATCAAGACGAGCCTCTAGTGCAGCGGTTCTCAACCTGTGGGTCGAGACCCCTTTGGGGGTCGAACGACCCTTTCACAGGGATCGCCTAAGACCATCGGAAACCACATATTTTTGATGGTCTTAGGAACTGAGACACCGCTCCTCTATCCGTCTCCAGGCGGGTCCTCCCACATGCAGATATGCCCACATACGAGTACCCGGCGTATTAAAGGGTTGAGGCATTAGGAAGGTTGAGAACCACTGCTCTAGTGGTTACTGAAAATTCTTTGCTCCCACGTGCTGCAGTCGTGCCTGGCGCTAGCACCTGCTACCGATGCTGGCCCCACTCGCACCCGCTGCTGGTGCCTGGCACTGGTCCCGATCACCATCAGTAGGTGCAAGTGGTGGCCGCTAGCCCTGATCGCCCCTGAGGGCTTCTTCACCTCCCCCTGCTCCTGAGGGGCAATCGGGGCAGCAGCCGCCACTCGCACCCGCTGATGGTGCCAGCCCCACTCGCACCCGCTCCTGGCGCCGGCCCCAATCCCTCCGCACCATCAGCAGGTGCGAGCAGGTATGGCGTTGCCAGCAGACTGGGGACTGGGGCCATGGCGGGAGGGGCCGGGCGGGCGGGGGCGCGGAGGATGGGCTGAGACCCACCCATGTGCCCTCCGCAGCCTCACAGCCCACAGTTCCTTTCAAGGTGCAGGAATTCGTGCCCTGGGCCCCTAGTTTAACAATAAAGGATGGAAACGCTTGAGGACAGAGGCTGGCCCAAGGACGTTCTCTTCTTCCTATGGTCTAAGACAGCCGTGGGCAAACTACGGCCCGCGGGCCAGATCCGGCCCGTTTGAAATGAATAAAACTAAAAAACAAAGACCATACCCTTTTATGTAATGATGTTTACTTTGAATTTATATTAGTTCACACAAACACTCCATCCATGCTTTTGTTCCGGCCCTCCGGTCCAGTTTAAGAACCCATTGTGGCCCTCGAGTCAAAAAGTTTGCCCACCCCTGGTCTCAGATCTCAATAGAAGCGCCTCATACAAAGCAGCAGATTGGTAGTTCTTGGTCAAAATCTGGATTGAACTCATTTCACCTGAGCCCTAGAACATATGTGTAATAATTTTAAAGATATAATTGGGGGGGAAGGGGAGACATATATAATACTTTCAACAATAAAGAATTATAAAAGGCCCTAGCTGGTTTGGCTCAGTGGATAGAGCATCGCCCTGCGGACTGGGGGGTCCCAGGTTCAATTCTGGTCAAGGGCATGTACCGTGGTTGCGGGCACATCCCCGGTAGGGAGTGTGCAGGAGGCAGCTGATCGATGTTTCTCTCTCATGGATGTTTCTGACTCTCTATCCCTCTCCCTTCCTCTCTGTAAAAAATCAATAAAATATATTTTTTTAAAAAGAATTATAAAAGAAAGAAAGAAAGAATGTGAGGAAAACATTTTAAAAAAGAGATAATCACTGAAACCTCTCACCACGTAACCTCTTTAACAGCCCCCTTAATGCTGAGCAGTTTACAGAATACGTGGGGATGCTAAATTCAATATTTTCCTCTTAGGGCCAGGCAGATCCAACTTGCTCATGTCTGTACACTTCCACACTGGAGCTATAGAGGGCCTAGGTACGCACTCTGTGACTAGGCCCTCCGTAACCCTGTACCCCACCCACTTGCCAGTTATTTCCTTACCTCGTGCAGAGTGCTTTTACATAGAACTAAATTCCAGAGAGATTCTGAGTGTGGCCGGTTAGACAGCCAGGCTCTGTAAAACAACTGGAAAATAGGAGCAAACCATAGACATACCCTGAGGATGTGGGAGGAGATAAGAGAGGGGCCCAGTCGATGGTATGGAAACAATGGCGAGGAACAGACCAAAGAGCCGCGGGGACCATCAACATAACCTGCTGGGATGTGGCGGCAATGACCTGCTGCCTACCAAGGACTGGCGCCCCCATGCATAGTGCACAGCTGTTCCAGGAGGTGGTGCTGCCCGAGGAATACGCTGTCCACCCCACTTACATCTCAGGGGGGTCATATGACTGATTTTGAGCCAATGAAAAGGGAGGAATAGTAGCCATTAAAAGCCTTCTGTGTGATCCTTCCTGTTCTATCTCTTTTCCCACCTGGAGATAAGGGCTCTGAGGCCAAGGAGATGGAGGGATCCACAAGCCAGGAGGGGCCCGGGGCCGGCCCGTATGGGAGGCTGCTCCACACACACCTGCACGGGCTGCTGTGTGAATGAGAAATAGACGCTCAGTGAAGGAAGCCGCCTTGACCGGAGGGACGCCCTGTGAAAGCAGTTAGTGTTCAACAGCCACCTGTGGCTCACGGCTACCACACTGAACAAAGATGATAAAACACGGGCAGTTCCACTTGGCAGTGCTGTCTCGAGGCTGAAGACGTAACTATATCCTTACTCTGCTTAACATCACGTAATGTTTCTTATCACTCAGGATAAGGACTGAACTAACTCCTTCCCAGGGTGGTTTGTAAGCTGGCCCTCGCCCGCCTTCCTGCCCTGTCTCCTTCACTTGCGGGGACTGTTCCCTCACCTCCAGCCTTCGCAAACGGTTTCCCGTTCCTCCGTGTGTCTCCACGACGTTGCAGACGGCCATATCGCCTGTCAGGAATCCCCCCAGTTAATTCTTCAGAACTGACCTTGGGCACCACTGCTTGGCAGGCTTTCCCTAGCTGCAGCCAGAACGCTCCCTTTGCCCTCAGAGCTGGGCCGCCTCTCGCTGGGCACACCGTTCATGCCCCTATTGCAGCACTTGATCTGCCTGCTTACCAGACTGTGAGCTCTCCTGAGGCAGGCACCAGTGTAATTTATTTTTTATCCACAGGGTCTAACAGTGTCTGAACACAAGTAGGTGTTGAATTGGTGTTAGTTCTTTTTTTAAAAAAAAAATTTAAAATATATTTTATTGATTTTTTACAGAGAGGAAGGGAGAGAGAGAGTTAGAAACATCGATGAGAGAGAAACATCAACCAGCTGCCTCCTGCACACCCCCCACTGGGGATGTGCCCACAACCAAGGTACATGCCCTTGACCGGAATGGAACCTGGGACCCTTCAGTCCACAGGCCAACACTCCATCCACTGAGCCAAACCGGTCAGGTCATGGTGTTAGTTCTTCCTTGCTCTTCAGTCCTCCCTGTCTGGGATACGTTGCTGTTCCAAAGCCATCACATGCCCAGAGGTCAGCATGACTCCTCAGCTGTCTGCCGCCCAGGGCAGTTGAATGAGCACTAGGCCCCGAGTGTGGTTTGCTAAAGACAAAAGGAACCAGGCAGACGCTGCAAAATTGACTTGCAAGGCACCTGCCTTCTCAGAGGACAAGGGCTCGGATGTGAGAAGGTCTAATCCCCTCTCAGGTGGCTGACTTCCCTCGCTTTCCGTACCCATAATGCAGTGCTCTCCCCCTCGGAGAGCAGGACCGGGAGAGCCAGGCGGTAGCCATGGTCCAGTCTACGTGCTCAGACTTGGATTATCAAAGGTTATCCCAACGCTTAGACCATGTCTCCATGTGTTGCAAGCCTCATCAGAACAAAGTATAACTGGAAGTTTTAAATTCTTTACTACTTTGCATTCTATATGGGACAACTAAGCACTTAGTGACATTCTGCCTTATTCTGTTTCCCACATTGTTTTTACTATTTGTTTTCTCTGACTCCATTGCGGGCATCCCATATACAGGAAAACGTGTCTTCCATGCCACTCTGCATCGTGATAATGACTTAATAGGTGCTCAATAAATATTGATGGATTGATTGGTTGTCGTGGTTGGGCTAATCTGGTGAGGGTTTTTTTCTTTTAAAATATTGTTTTATTGATTTTTTACAGAGAGGAGGGAGAGGGATAGAGCGTTAGAAACATCGATCAGCTGCCTCTTGCACGCCCCCCACTGGGGATTAAGCCTGTAACCAAGGTACATGCCCTCGACCGGAATTGAACCTGGCACCTTTCAGTCCACAGCCCGACGCTCTATCCACTGAGCCAAACTGGTCAGGGCTAATCTGGTGAGTTTTTATAGCCCCACAAGCCACTAAAAAAAATCCCCAAATACCAGTGCCATCTTACAAAGCTCTAGAACATCAGCTGGATTTTCCAAGTAACCTAATTTTGAATCTGTATTTATGTAAGTTTTAAACATTTTGATTTAAAACATTTTTTTAGTTTATGATGGGCCATTTATTACATGGATGGCCTCCAATGAAGCAGGCCTCTGGGAATTCTTTCTCTTCACACTGAGTCTGAGTTTGGTCATGTGACTTGCTTTGGCAAATGCGACATTAACAAGAGTGATTTAAACAGAAATTTCATAATCACTTGTCATCTCAGAATTCTCCCTTGAACCTAGAATCCATGCGGTAAGAAAGTCTAACTACCCTGCTGGAGGAAGAGGGGTGCAGAAAGAGGTCCTGGGACATGTGAGACCATGCCAGGCACGTGGGCAAAGCAGCCTCGTCATTACAGCCCCGTTCAAGCCGTCAGAGGAAGGCGCCTGCGTGAGACCCCGAGGGAGACCAGCAGAACCGCCCGACTGACCCAGCCCCGGTGGCTGCACCACGAACTATAAACAAATAGTGGTCGAAGCCTGGGTTTAGAGGTGGCTTATTATGCACCAGGACACAACCCCAACACTCAGAATTCTCTCTCCTCTTATTCATCAACATGAACTGGTATCACTTACCATTTGCAGGTTCCATTCTTAAACACCTTGAGTGAGATCTGAAGTGGAATGTAGAGCACTCTTTCCTATCAAGGTGAGGAAGTTTTACTTCTAGATCAGCGGTTCTCAACCTGTGGGTCGCGACCCCTTTGGGGGTTGAACGACCCTTTCACAGGGGTCGCCTAAGACCATCGGAAAACACATATATCATTACATATTGTTTTTGTGATTAATCACTATGCTTTAACCATGTTCAATTTGTAACAATGAAAATACATCCTGCATATCAGATATTTACATGACGATTCATAACAGTAGCAACATTACAGTGATGAAGTAGCAACGAAAATAATTTTATGGTTAGGGGTCACCACAACATGAGGAACTGTATTAAAGGGTCGCGGCATTAGGAAAGTTGAGAACCACTGTTCTAGATGCTTCTAGAAAACTGGGATTTTAGAATTTGACTTTCATGTTTAGAGTTTTTTCCTATGTAGTTAATGTCTTTAAGATAAATTAAGTTTATCTCTTCTTACTTTCTCTCTCTTTTTTTTTCTGGCTTTTGCCCCTGGGTAAGTATCTAGGGAAAAGAAAAATTTTTATCTCATGAGTTTCATGTCCTGTTTTTGACTCTTGCCAAGTAGCTCTGTTAAATTTATTCCAAGTTAAAAAATAATAAAGTTCTTGTGAATGTGCCACAGCATCAACAACGATGCCAGGAAGGACAGTTCTATCCAAATAGATTTCTTCGTTCTGTGTCTGTGTGACTCCCACACCTTCACATAGTCCTTTTGCACCTCTCTTGTGAGTCATGGGGGTTTTGACCATCTGTGAGCCTCTCTTTCAAGCATAGCCTTGGCCTCATTCCCCCCGCCCCACACTTTTGGTTTATAGTTTATATTTCTTTCTTTCTTTCTTTGTGTGTCTTTTTGTAGGTTGAACTTTGAAAAAAGCATTTCTCCTTTATCTCTCAGTTGGGAAAAAATGTGGTTTACCTTGACTCAAAGACTTTTTTTTGATAATTTCATCAAGTGTTGAAATTTCCATTAACATGATAAGTAAAAAAAAAATTAAAGATCGAAAGAAAAAGCAGCAAAAGCTAGCTTTTGAGTTGTTGGGTGGTTTCTGAACGGCCATACCTAGTTTAAGCCGGTGCTGCTCGAAGTGTGGTCCCAGGACCAGTGCCAGGCCATGAGCTGTGGCTGCAATGAGAAAACAAAAATGGAGAGTTTATAAGCTTTTGTATGTAGACGTCAGACGATGGTGTGGCCATTTTCCTTGTATCCAGTTTTATTGTATATTTAAAACATATTGGCCAACCGTTGATTGTAACTTTTAAAAAGGATCTTCCTGTACTGACAGTTACAGAAGCACTGATCTAAATGACCTTTGCAATGGCCTTCCAGCCTCAGGCCTCAGACAAGATAGGGCCCAGAGTGGGCAGCCCACAAACGTATGTTGACAGACGGATTGTTACTTAAGGCATAGTTTCTAATCCTATGGTGCTCTGTTATGTTAAATCTTTATCAGTCGCTCAACTGTACATACAACAAATATAAGTCAGCTTTTTACAACTATTTTTATAAGGGCGTGAAATAACCTGCCTCATTCTCTTGGCTCGGTGTGAGGAATAAGTTAAATCCAAGTTTAGAGAACTCAAAAGAAACGACGGGTGTGCTCAAGTTAAAAGCAGCTTTCACTTGCTTCGCATTAGCACCGACCGGCTTAGCTGCCTTTGAGTGGGGAGCTGGGTGGGAAGCGCGCGACTCCATGTCAGGGCTGCCTCCATGACTCACTGTTACGAAGAACAAATGCAAAATAAATAAACAAATAAATGCATCGCTGGGTCAGATCAGGTGAAGGCCACGCCTGACACTAGTGCAGGAAGTCGAGTCCTGGGAGTTGCTCTCTGCCCTGGAGGCCCTTGCTAACTCCGACCTCGACCTCGGGTGGAAGAGACCTGAACGCATAGCTGGGTCACCTTCTTCTTTCCGCCCGGCCGTGGCCTCGGGCAGGCTTGCTGCTGGTCTTGCTCCGGCTTGCACGTCAGTCCATTGATTGGGTCATGGTCCCCTTCCCGTGTGACTTTACACGAGCTGCTTAAGTCTCTCTATGTTTTGGATCCCTCATCTGGGAAATAAAAAAATAAAGACGAGGACACCGTGAAGGTTAAGTGACAACGCAGGTGCCATGTCTGCTGCAGGCTGACGGACCAGCTACGCTCACCGTCACTGCCCTTCCTGGGCCCTGCTCCCGGACCAAGCTTCCTCTACCCGGGGAAGGCCCAGGTCCCCATCTACTGCTTCCCGTGATGTTGTGACTTTGGGCCATTTTTTAACCACCTTTAAGTCTCGGCTTCTTCATCTGAAAACTTGTACAAGGCATGACATCTGAGTGAAGTCAGGTTGTGGAGGGCCGCGTGCAATCCCACGTGTCGTCTGCTTCCGATCGGCCAGCGATGGGGAAACGCACAGCTTGACCCCCTGCGCCTGCGTTTCTGTCCAGGCTCCTGCCTGGGATTCTCATTTCTCGGAACCTGGGAGCTTTCTTGGCTCTTGCCATTAGCATCAGTCCTTAGGAATCCCATTTCTGCCTTTACCTGCTGAACTTCTCACTGGACATAGTTCCCTTTTTAAAAAATATATTTTTATTGATTTCAGAGAGGAAGAGAGAGGGAGAGGAGATAGAAACATCAATGATGAGAGAGAATCATGGATCGGCTGCCTCCTACACACCCTCCCCCCCCCCGCCCCCCCACACACACACTGGGGATCTCGCCCACAACTGGGCATGGAATCAAACCATGACCTCCTGGTTCATAGGCCGATGCCCAACCACTGAGCCACACCAGCCAGGCACCTGCTTCCCACTCTTTACCCAGCCAGAACCCCAGCACCTTAGAGGGCCTGTCAGGAGTCACAGAAGCTCCCATAGCCCTAAGATCCTCTGGTCAGCGCCCCCTGCTGTCTGCCCCCAGGTCCCCAGGCCACAGGACATCAACCAGCCTCCAGGCTGCTTCGCTTTCTGTTGGGAGCTCTCTGGATCTCTCCCCCCGCCCTCCACGCCCCCTCCAAAAAACATAAAAACCCCCCCCGCCCCCCGCTGTGGGCCTGCCTAGCTCCAGGACTGAGCAGGAGTGGACTGCCTTCAGGCCACCTGCTGAGCCCAGAGTTGACAGGACCTGCTATGGAACAACACAGGGCATCCTGGGACCGGCATGTCCCCATGGTGTTGTAACCCCGGCAACCGGATTGAAGGCAGATGTTACAAGGACCATTTTGTGTAGAAACCATGTTTGATGGTGGCTCTTCTGGAAGCGCCTGCTGACGCTTCTCTTTCCCGTGAAGTGACTCGGAGCGCAGACCTTCCATTCTTGTTTATGGCTCTTCTTCAGCTTGATTCCACCTGCTGGGGAACTGAGACTCCTACACCTCCACAGATCAAAGGCATCAAAGCCAGCGGTGGCCTAGGAAGGCTGTGGCATCGCTGGCTTTGAGTGGCACCTCTGGGGGGATGGAGAGTGGGGGTGGGGCGTCCTGTACAAGCATAAGGTCCCTTGTTCAACTTCAAAATTCCAGACACCCCTCCCCCCCACACACACACAAAACATAGATGCACACACACGAAGTGTCAGTTCAGTTGGCACAGACACCCTGCTCCACCTGCCTCTACGCCGTTTCCGAGGCCTGTGGGTGTCCTTGACTTGGGCTCCCGCAATCAGGGGCCCCCATCGGCACCCAGAAGGGAAGCCCTGGCGGACACTGCCTGGTTCTGAACAAGAGGCGGCTGATTTAAAGGTAACGCCAGGTAAGGACCCCAAAGTCAAATGCCAACAAAAACACACTATTCTGCATTTCGAGCTGTGGCGGGAGGGAATCTGTTTTCTCCACAAACAAACTTAAATTTAAAGTTCACGCTTGCTCCCACGAAAGGCGGAGAGGGAATTTCCATGGCATGAGAATCTTCGCGTCTGTTTTCCCTAAGGACTGAAGTCAGCCTTTTTTTTGTTTTTGGCTTCTTTTCAATTGTTTTTGTTCAGTAAAGATGAAGCAAAACCAGTGCCAACTTTGCAAGTAACTCAGAACTAAGTCTGTGTGTGTCTGCTACGCGTTTGCCCCTTACGGATTTAGCAACTCAATAATAAACGGGGAGGATGGGATGTGAGCTCAGCCAGCATCAGGGTCCTCAGGACGTTCAGGCTGGTGCTCCCACGTGGACACTCGGAAACCTCTGGAGCGCTCAGCAGCCTCCGTTAGGATGCATGTCCTCAGGTCCATCCATTATAGGTGCTCTTACGCCCAAGGGCCGGACTAGTGCACGGGCACTTTCCAACTATTACCCCTCTCTCTAAACAGACGCTGGGAGGGGCGGAAGCTGAGGGTGACACGATAATGCTGAACATCCCCATGAAGGTCAAACACGCCGGCTGACATCCGACAGGGAGACCGGGTGCCTGGACCGCGGGGGCACAGACGAGTCTCCCAGAAACCCTGCTGTGTGAGGCTCACAGTCCATCCTGACACGCATCCGATGGGGCAAAGGCAACTGGCCCCCAGGGAGCATCACTACCCCGACCCCCGGGTGAAGGGCAGCTGACATGTTGTTAAATCACTAGGATGGATAATAAAAGCAAAATCATTAGCGTGTTTGTTCCAAAAAGCAAAGAGTAGAAGAGGCCTGGATGGCTAAGGGCCACTTGGGGGAGAGTGGAACCATTTTGTGAAGTTCCTCTGTGTCAGGGTGGCTCTCCTGAGAAGGGGGTACAGGGCAACCTTTACACAAAGCCACCCCGGAACCCTGACTCCATGGGCCAGGGTGCTCCTGGGGCAACACTGGAATGCCCTACCCAGAAGGAGAGAGAGAGAGATGAGAGAGAGAGAGAGAGAGAGACACTTTGCAAGTGGGAGCAGAGCATACACACACTGTAAACAGTTCATCAATGAACAACAGAAAAAGTTTAGCAAATGCAACTCTAAAGAACACTCTTCAGAAGAGACGCTGAAGAGGAACATACTGTCCAAGAAGGAATCCCTTAAGAAATGGGTTTAGGTATCAGAGGACACACAGCGTAATGACAGCAGTGTTTTCGATACACTGATTGCGACTAAAAGACCCTACCGAGCGGATGCAGCATAGCAAGAGCAGCCTTTGTTTCCATTTGCTCACGTCCCACCCTCCACCTGCCTGTGATCAGGAGAATGTTGTTCCTTTTGGGGCTTTTTTTTTTTTCTTTAATGAAGATGAGCTTAGCCAGGTGTGTGGGGTGGGGTGCGGGCAGATTCTCTCCTGTGACTGACGAGGACCCCAGCAGCAGCCTGGCCGGACACCCCGCCAAAAACAACTCTGAGCGGCCAGTGTGGGTGTGGAGAGGGAATTGGCTTTGAAGCCAGACAGACTTCATAGAAGGTCTAATTAATTAAGTCGCTCATTAGCAAATTCCTTCATTTCACCTCTCAGGACCTTCGTCTTCTTGCCTGTGGGATGGGCATAAACCATCTCATCTGATTTTTATAAGGAAGGCACCTGGCACATAGATTACACTCAAAATGTTATTTCCTTCCCTTCTGTTTATCGAAACTGTTACAGCAAACCCCCCAGTGCTCGATCGGAACTAATGGTGTGCGGCAGCGTCCAAACGGTCTCATCCGTGGACACTCAAGGCAAGGAAAACGTGTTGAGCCTCTCTTGATTTAAAAATTGAAAATTTCTATCAAATTTTGGAAGTTTTTATTTTAAAATTATTTTATTTTTATTATTTTTCAGAGAACGAGAAGTTGATGGAATTGCTGAATTCATATAAATATTTCCTCTAGACAAGAGATACTTCCCCTAAAATATCCCTTCAAGATTAAAAAAAGAAAGAAAGAAAGAAACTGTGAGAACATTAAAGGTTGAAGTCATTATGATTTTCTCTGAGGACAAATTTTCATTTTCGTGTGTATAGACTGGCTTCTTGCTGTGAAAGGTGAGTTCGTTGGCCCAGCCACACGGCACGAGCACACAGTTCTGAAGATACTGAAGCCCTTCTGAACCGTTAGTGAATGTCGGCCCTGGACTCTGCCCAGCGCTCCCCCTCTCTCCTGGCTGCCCCCTCCCACCGCCAGGACCAACCCCAACCCCCATCTCCCCGGACCCAGAGCCACAGGGGAAAGGGGACTCTGGTCCCATCTCCCAGGCGCCCTCAACACCCACCCCTTCGCCCCAAGCAGCTTAGCGTCCATCTGTTTTAAGTAATGGCCTCAGGCAAGGCTTGGTTTGCAGAAAGCATTCCGTTTGGAAAGCCCTGCTCAAGGTCCGCCCTCAGGCCCTTGCAAGTTTGCACCATCGGGTTTCTGGGAATGGAGACCTTTCCCCCAATCACACCAGCTCCTTATAAAGCCAAGTGCCCGTCTGCCTCCTGGTGTGATTACCTTGCATCCAAATGGGCAGCAGACACAGGCCTGCGGGTGTGGAGACGACCCCTGAGCCGGCTCCGAATCAGATGAGGCGGAAGGTGCTGGAGCCCAGGCTCAGGTGGAGGCGGCGGAAGGGAGTGGGCTTTGCTCTGTGCCCAGCCCTGCGCCAGGTGCTCACGGTCCAGATCCGCTCCAATCCTATGAGAGGAGTTTCTTTGCTCCCTTCTCTCCCTCCCTCCTTCCCTTCCTTCTGGATTTACTGAGCAACTGTCTGTGCCAGGGGCTGAGGTACAAAGGCAGAGCTAGCACCCCAAGACCTCACCGCCCCGTGAGAGCATCACCCAGAAAACGGCTTGACTGGGGTGGGTGGAGGATGCAGGGGGAGCCCCGAGGGACTCAGGGAAGGTTCTCCAGTGGAGTTAAAGCCAAGCTGGGACCTGAAGGACGAGGAAGGGCATTCCAGGTGGAGGGAACTGCATGTGCGAAGGCAGGGAGGCAGGACACAGCCCTCCTGGTCTGGGAACTGTGGGAGGGCGATGGAGCCCAGCCGGGTGAGGTTGGCGTCCCAGAACCCACTACCTGGACCCTCTGCCTCCTTGACCTCCTTTGCTCCTGGCTGCCTGGCCAGGAAGAGACCCCGCCTACCTGCCCAAAAGGAGGCTTTGAAGCTGGAGAGAGGGATGAGGAAGGAGGGTCAGCTGCTGGGATTGCTTCTCAGGAATCATCTCCTCCTCCTCCTCCACCTCCTCCTCCAACACCATGGCAACCAGGAGGCAGCTGGGGGAATAGCTGTGAGCTGGGCTGAGTGGAGGGGGAGGTGGGCTGGGGGTCGGGCCCTCTGCTCCCCTCTCTGAGCCTCAGTTTTGGCATCTGGAATATGGGCACCACCACCCAGTTGCTGGCTCCTGTCAACCCAGGTGCCCCAGGAAGCGGAGGCCCAGCTGGACTCAGGAGGGGAGGCCCGGGAGGTGAGGGCAGGGCCGGGGAGGACCCTGCACCATCTGCCGCTGGGGCTCCGCAGGGACGGGGAGTCCCTGAGCGCGTGGCCTGCGCTTCCCACCGAGCACCTGCCTGGTGCGCCCACTGCACTGTCCCTGCCCAGGAGCCCGGGGAGCAGGAGGCAGGGCCGAGGCACAGACACAGGGAAGGTCTCCCCGGGAGCCCTGCGGGGGGAGGTCTGGGGGGGGTCTCCCCTGCTGGGGAACAGGGCCCAGCTGTGCCCAGAACCCGGTCAAAGCCCCAGAAGGCGGGGAAGGAGGGTCTATTTCTTGGGCTGCTGCTCCCATGACAACAAACTGGCCTCAACCAACAGGAACATGTGCTCTCCCCCTTCTGGGGCCAGAACCTGAAATCAGGGCGTCGGGGGCTGTGCTCCCTCAGAGGGCTCCAGGGAGGGTCCTTCCTGCCTCTTCAGCTTCTGGGGGCTCCTGGCTGCATCCCTTCCATCTTCACGTGGCCCCTCCTCCATCCTCAGGCGACTTCTCCAGTGTGTTCACATGGCCCCGTCCCCTTGTTCACGTGCCCACTATTGCATGTTCATGTGGCCCCGCCCCCTTGCAACCTTGGATGGTCTGTTTTTGGGGTGCCACCTCCCTGGTTGGCTGGCTGCCTGCTCTCACACCTGTCAACAGTCCCTTTGCCAAAGTCCTTCCAGAAAATCGTGTGCACGTGCCATCTCCTTCCTGGTGTGACAGCTGGGATTGAAAAGGAGACAGGAGAGCAGTGGCCCATCCAGAGTCCATGCCAGAGGTCCAGGGAGCCTGTGCTGTCCCTGGGAGGCCCTTCTGAAGGGTAACCAGGTAATTTAAAGTGATTTTAAACACAAAGTAACACAATTTGTCTATAAAGGGCCTGGCCAGTGTGGCTCATGGTTGTGCATTGACCTATGAACCAGGAGGCCACGGTTCAATTCCCATGACCCTATAAAGGGAAAACGTTTTTACTGTCATTATTAACTTTTATTTGTAGTTGTAGGTTTTAATTCTCATTAAAAATTCAGTTGAGAAGAGGGAAGGAGGCGGAAGCAGCGGTGAGGGGAGAATAAGTACAGTGGGGCCTTGACTTACGAGTTTAATTGGTTCCAGACCGAGCTCGTTAAGGAGCTCGTAACTCAAATTACTCTATCAACTCAATGTAAAAAATCGGCCGAGAGACAGCTGGTATCTCAAAAAACTCGTTAGTCGGGACACTCGTAAGTCAAGGCCTCACTGTAGATTCCTAGTGTAGGTAGAACTGGGGTGGGGGCCAAGGGGGCCCATTGGGTGTTACACCCATGGGTCAGGCCGGACCTGGGTTCAGCGACCTCGGTGGTTGGGCGCTGGCTCCAAAAGAATTCAGAGCCCAGACTCCAACTACAAGAGGACATTTACGTATAAAACCACGGAGGTAGAGGAGGCAGTGCCTGGGAGAAATGGGCTTAGAAACGAGTCATAGAGGCAAAGTAAGGCCTTAGACTGAGCTTGGGAGTGAGGAAGCCTGTGGTAACGCCCCTGGGGTCGGGATGGGGGACGGAGGGGGAGGGGAGGGGAAGGCCTTCAGGGTGGAGAGTCTTAGGGGCGTGGGGAAGAGTCTACAGAATATGCAGCAGCTTTCCAGGTGGCCCTTCCAGGGGTGTGATCTCACGGGTTGATTGGCAGGCGCCAGGGCAGGGTCATTATTCAACGCAGCTGGTCCTGAGGCCAGCCAGGGGGTCGCTGGTCTGGTTTTGTTGCTTTTCTGGGCCTGGAGCTGAATATAATGGAGGCCTGAATGTTATCTCCAGGGAGGGAAGGTCAGGGGGTCTACACCTAATGGCCAGTGATAGGCTAAGCCCCAGGGGATGGAGGTCACCTGGGGAGGTCCCACCCTAAGTGTCCTTTTCCCGGCACCTGGGGCTTCCCCCCTGGTGACCGGCACCAGACCCACCGTCCTGGCTGGGCTCATGTCTAACTACCACCACACTAGTGTGGGACGTCCACTTTTACTTTAGCTTTGAACTTTCTAGAAAGGCTATTATTGTCTTTTGTACATTAAAAAATAATTTGTTTTTTCCTTTTAAAATATATGTGACTCTCCCACCTTTACTTCCCCTAAACCCACCCTGGGCAGGCAGCAAGCAGCGTGTGAGGGCGTGCACAGCTCCACGGCCCTCCAGGTGTGCAGCACAGGCCCAGCGCAGGTGACAGGTGGAACCAAAAGGAGCTCTGAGCCCAGCCGGGGTGGCTCAGTGGTTGAGCGTCGACCTATGAACCAGGAGGTCAAGGTTCAACTCCCAGTCAGGGTAGGCTCGATCCCCAGCGTGGGGCGTGCAGGAGGCAGCCGATCAGTGATTCTCTCATCATTGATGTTTCCCTCTCTCTCTCCCTCTCCCTTTCTCTCTAAAATCAATAATAAAAATATTTCTTAAAAAATAATAAATAAGGGGCTATGCGTATATTTCAAATGTGCCCCTCACCTGCAAAAATACCACTCATTACTGATTCAACCAAAAGGCCTGTTTCCTCCGGCGCCTTCCCCAGGAGGGGGAATAAAACCAACAGATTCTTAGAAAAGAAAAGGATCAGAAAGAAAGGAAAACCTGGAAGGGAAGAAAGAAAAACGCAAAAAGCGATTTGAAAGGGTGGGATGGTGGGCGAATTGTTGTCTCCTGTTTCACTGCCATCACCACCCCCGGCTGCAATGAGGCCGCAGCCTCTGCAACCTGCTCTTCGGAGGATGCGTGTGCGTGTGTGTGTGTGTGTGTGTGAACCTGCGTGTGGGGATGTGGAGGCTACAGCTCCACAGTGTGGGGTTTGGGGTGAGTGTGTGTGTGAGTGTGTGTGTGGAACGTGGATGTGCTGGGGTGTGTGAGGAGTGCAGGTTGTGTGCGTGGCAGGTGGGGAGTGTGCAGCGTGTGGGGTGTAGTCTGGAATGAGTGTGGACTGAGGAAGGCAGGTGTGAGCACGTGGGTGTGACCCCGTGGGGAGCGCACAGGGTGCGCACAGCTGGCGTGTGAGATGGGGCCTGGAAGGCGTGTGCACCCCCTTCTGCCCCGCCCCCCACCCACCCACCCCCCTTCTGCCCCGCCCCATCCCCCTCCCCTCCGACCTGCGCGCCCCGCCCTGTCTGCGGTGCAGCTGCGGGAGCGCGCGGTGCGGTGCCGGGAGGCCGCTGCCTGCGGACCCGGCGGGAGGGGCGGGTGGAGGGCGCCGGCACGGAGCGCGGTCCCGGGTGCGGCCCGGACACCGGGACACGGAGACACGTGCAGGA